CTTCTACGTATTAAAAATGTTGTTAAACATATGAGTGGCGCACTACCGCTACTAGTGGTGAGAAAGTGTATCGCACCTGATTCAAAATCAATGCAGTCCTGCGGACCAAAGTTAAAAACTGTTGTTGTTTTGAGGCCCTCAAGGTGGCACTCGCGGCCCACAATTGGGCCGCAGCCCATAGGTTAAGAATCTCTGGCTATAGACAGTCTTGTGTTATGGATTTTTCACACTGAAAACAACAGCAATCATAATGATATTTCTGAGTTAACTTTAAGGCAGTTATTGGACAGAGTTAACACAACATTGCACATGGACATTGTCTTCACAAACAAGCATGCTTTCATAACACTGGCCGACAGTCAGACTTCAACCATGTTTCTCAAGAGCACAAGCACCTTGAGCTACGGAGGACAAAAACTGCCAAAATAAAAATCGAATACAGAAATTAATAAATGGCTCAATAAAATGAATAATTTGCCTACAAATGCATCAAAAATATAAAATAAAGCATACAAGAATTATATATTACAATAAAATGTAGCATAAATTACTGTTTGTGTTTTTATTTGTAATAATTTCTGTACTGTATGCGTCATCTTTCCTAGTTTTTTTTAAATTTATCATTTAATTTTCAGTACTCAGTTCCTTATTGTCTATTTTTTTTGTTTCATTTGCAATTTTCAGCCTGTCCAACTTGTTCATATTGACTTACGGTAGTATCTTTTAATGTCTTTCAGTTGATGCTGATGTGAACAAGAGTGACTCAGATGATATTGAGGACAGTGGCAACAATGTAAAGGCTCCAACACCACAAGCCATGGCCAAATTCAGGTTCCACCTGAAGTGTACCAACTGCAGTTTCAGGGCCAGCTCCATTGCAGTGCTGGAGAAGCACGCTCATGTCAAACACCTCGACATGGACTGGTTCCGCTGCAAACTTTGCAACGTTTTGACCGCCACATCAGAGTGGATGAACGTTCACCTGAAAACGGATAGCCACTTGCAGAAGCAGAAAGAAGACGAAAAGAACGGCTCCGAATTTTCCTCGTTCCAAAAATATGTTGAGAGTGTAAGCAGAGACAGTGCTGGAGATGATGAGGCTGTAGGTGATGTGGAAGAATTTGAACCTCCCACAAGGAAACGAGGAAGACCAAAGCTGACTGGGTCTATTACGTGTGAATACTGTGGCTTGATTGTGTCCAATGCTACCAACCTCAGTGTTCATGTTCGCCGGAAACACAGCAAAGAATATGGCTACAGCTGCACTTTGTGCAACTACAGCTGTGTGACCAAAGGAGACATGGATAGACACTGTTTCACTAAGAAACATATTAAGCGAGCACAAGAGGGTTCAAATAAGAACCCGGTTACTGATCACATAGATGCATCATTACTCAAACCCATAGTAACCCATAGTCCTGCCTTCCAAACCACAGGCACAGAACAGGAATCCAGCAATGCACTTCCCCAAGAATTCAAAGTAGAAGAGCAGTCTCAATCAGACGCACCCCAGCAAGCAAGTAAATATGACTCAGTCAATGYATGCAGTCTGTGTGATTTTGCAGCTCAGTCAATCTCTTCCCTCCATATTCATGTAAAGAGAAAGCACACCAAAGATTTTGAATATGTTTGTTTGGCATGTGGCTACTATGCTGTAAACAGCAAGGAGATGTRCCGCCATGCCAATACGGAGAAGCACAGACAGAAAAATCTAAAATATCTGGAAATGCAAGGCAGCAAAGGAGAAAGAGATACAGAACTTCCACTAACTGAAAAGAAGAACAATGACCATCCTGTGGAAAAATTAAACCCTGAACTTAAACATCCAAACCCATCTGATGCATCTGATTCTTGTTCCAATGACAATCAAGTTTTAGAAATGCAAAATACCTCTGCATCCCCTGCTACCTCAGAGATCATTAGTGTGGTGATTGGTGGTGTTGGCAGTGCAGATGAAGAACAAGTAAAGATGGATACATCCTCTGCTGGTGATGAACCAGATTCAGTCAGCCAGACAACAGAGCTGACAGTCTTGTCTGAGGTCCAGCAGGTTTCAGGAGATCTTCAGCTCTCCTTAGACAAGTCTTCACAACAAGAAAGCCAGGAGGAAGGACATGAACAAGTAGAAGATGAGACTCTAAAGGCAGATATGCTGATTGTAGATATGCATATGTCCAAAGTTCCTCCATTTGATGCTTGTATTGTATCTTTAAAGGTCCTTGCTAAGCAGGATCAGGCATCGCTGGAAGTTCTCGCTGTAGAAGGAGAATCCTCTGTGATGTCTGTGACTGGAGGATCCTCWTTTGACCATGGATCCTCAGCATACATCAGAAAGCTCAAGCCCAAGGAAGCAAAGACTGTCACTGGAAGCGACTCTCACTTACGCTGCGAAGACTGTGGCTTCATGGCAGATGGCCTCAGTGGCCTTAATGTCCACATCTCCATGAAGCACCCCTCCAAAGAGAGGCACTTTCACTGCCTGCTATGTGGCAAGTCATTCTACACTGAGAGCAACCTGCACCAGCACTTGACTAGTTCTGCCCACATCCGCAATGAGCAGAACAGTGTGGAGACGCTGCCTGAAGGGGGCGCAAGTTTTAAGTGTGTGAAGTGCACAGACCGCTTCAACACGGAGCAGGATTTGTTTTTTCACATCAAAGAGAAGCACGAGGAGCTCCTTAAAGAGGTCAGCAAGTATGTGCTGGAAGACACGGAGCAGATCAACCGGGAGCGTGAAGAGAACAAGGGAAGTGTTTGTAAATACTGCGGCAAGGTTTGCAAGAGCACCAACTCGATGGCCTTCCTGGCTCACATTCGTACACACACCGGTAGGTAACTTGTCCTTACACACTTACTAACTTTGTATTTCTGTTCTCTGGTTCAGCCATACATTCCTGTTGTACATATACACATTAAAAATATTATCTGCCTGAAAAAAAACATCTGATCTGTAAAAGAAAATTATATCTGTCARTTTTACAGATGTTGACAAATAGTTGGATGTGGTTGCTGAGACTGATCCCAACACATATTCTGAGTGCAAACAAATTGTGTGAGATCTTGGTTTAATATTTTGCAATGAATTGTTTGGAGTCAACTTTGTCTGCCAGTTAGCAAAATACCCCATGAGCCACTGCACAGTTTTTAATGAAGCTTTTCAGATACGCTAAATACTGTTGAGGTAGCTGTGAGTCATTCATAACACATACTCTAGTCTAAGTACTATGGGTGACATCTTTTCATGAAAATTTGCATTAATGGTTKGAGTCATTCTTGTTTATCTGWTAGCAAAATATCACATATTTTGATTAAAAGTATTTTTTGGATGTGTACACCTTCAACTTTTTGGAGTCAGGCCAATGCAATATGGCCACCACTGCCAATTCACATTAGCCAGCACAAAAGCCGGGTACACTCCGGACGCGCTTTGAGCAGCCAAAGCAGCCAGTTTACATGCAAAGTCTRTGGTGGGACGTGCATCTAGGAGCAGCATGGTGCATTTTGCCAGAAGCGCACAAGGTAGCRGTAGGATGCGGCAGAGCGTTCAAAAAATTGAACTTTCGCTGCTCGACGAGCAGCAGCAACCAATCAGAGAGAATAATTTTTCCACGTGATGKTTTCCTGAACCCGAAACRGATGGACAGGAGCTCTTTAGCTGAAATCGACCGTCTGCAGTTGCCGGTTGGTGTTCTGGCTGGAGATATCAGCACCAATGTGGGTCAGCAGCTCGTTAAAATAATTGTGGTGTAAACTGGGCTTGGGACAAAAAAAATGCTGCTTCATTCATACCGAATGCATTTCAAAGCGTCCAACTTGAGGCACTGGGCGCATTTTTGCTGCTCAAAACGCGTTTGGTGGGGACCCAACTAAAGAGCGTGGTAGTAGCTGAGAGTCATTTACAATGCATACACCCCTGAGTGTGAGATTTACAACTTTGTAGCCAATTACATTCARTGTCTTGTTACAAAGTTTCATGGTCTTTTGAAAACATGTTTTACTGAAAAAAWTCTAAAACAATGTTCTCCTTTTGTTACTGTTTAGCTGTTAGGGCTTTGCGTTTAGGTTCAGCAGTATAAAACAGGAAGAAGCAGTCTGCTCTGTGGCAGCTCAGACTATTGTTAAGGCTCCTATCTACTTCAACCAGGTAATAGCTCTTTCTGTAGAGGTGAAGGTAAAGACTGATTSAGCTTCAAACCAACAGGAGAAAACCTAATGGAGCCCAGATTGGGATTTCCTGAGCAACGCTTGGTCAGAGACGTGCGACTCATAATTGATGTGTCCATTACCAAGACTCAGTTGTAATTATAGTCAATAAGTCTCTGTAAACGTGTTAAAGCTTAGGCTAAAAGCATTGGAGGTCCAAAGAGAGGTGGGCTAATAATTTAAAAATTATCAATGCAGACATATTCAAAGCTTTTAATTTCCCTGGTGTCTGCATGTTCATGTTTGTGCATTTGTGTGAGTGTGTGATGCTTGCTGGATGTGTGTATTTGTCAGCCTTCATGACTAGCTGATTATCTTCAATCCATTAGGATTCATCTTGTCATTTATAATTCAAAACAGAGCTGCACTGGTCAGGGCGTCGGCTGGGAAATGTCCAGCAGGTTAACACTGGGCGCTCCATTACTTTTCCCTGACCATGTGTATTAATTGCTTTTAAAATCAACTTAATGCAGGAACTAGATGTGAGGGCGCCATCGATAAATGCCCCTCTCTGACTCTTTTAGTCCATCCCCCTTCCAGACTAAACTTTAATGGAACTTTAATTGAAGTCCATGCATTATGCTTAGTTTGTGTACACAATTGTTGGCTTCTTTGTGTTTATATGAAGTCGTTTTTTTAAATGCAAAATGGATAAGTAAAGTTTCCAGTTTCTCAGTTCTGTTTGGCAGCTTTAGTTAAACTTAAAAACTAAAATAAAAAAGACAAAAGACTAGCATTTCTTGATGAAATACTTATCACACTTCACCTTTCATGTTGGTTTTAAACTAAACATAATCATATGTTAGGAAATGATGGAGTTTTTGCCATTTAGAGCAAATCATGATAATCACCTTCTGTGCAATCACAGGCACTATTGCAAKATCTTATGTATTCTTTTAGTACTCTGAGTAAAATGTTAGCTTCACTAACCTCTGAACTGCTACACAGATTACTTAGTTCCACTAATTCTGAGACATTACACAGACAAAAAGAAAYTGGCAGAAGTAATGCTAAACCACTAATAATTTACATATTAACATTCAGTTCACCATGGTAAATGGCCTGAATTTATGTAGCAAGTCTGTACGGACTCCAAAGCACTTTACACTTACAGTCATACACACATTCACACACTGATGGTGGTAMGCTACATTGTAGCCACAGCTGCTCTGGGGCACACTGAYGGAGACGGAGCTGCCATGCACCGGCATCACTGAACCCTCTGACCACTACCAGCAAGAAAGGCAGGTGAAGTGTCTTGCCCAAGGATACAATGACTGAGACAGATGTAACGGATCAAACCGGCAACCTACCACTTACAGGCCGACTCCCCTTACCACTCTGCCACAGCCGCCCAAGAACAATATGGTGCACTGGCACTCAGGTTTTGCCTTTGAATAGGCCGTCTGCTGCACTCACTGCTCTTTATTCATCCTGGCACAGACTTTTCACTTATGGTGTCATTTAGTCAATAGCCAAAACTTTAACACAGATGTCAAACCCAACCTAAATGTGTAATGTGACAAGCGTAAGTGAACACAGCTCAGAATGCTTCATAAATCACAGATAAAGGTGTTCATGTCTTGTTCAGAGGTGAGGTAGTGATTTCAGCAGAGCCCAGAGGCAGAGCTAGAACTCTACTGAGCTGAACCACCAGGAGGATAGGAGTGGGAGAGTGAAAAAAAAAAAGGCAGAAGAGGCAAAACATTAGTCGTATTATATCACATGCTGCTATTACATCGATAGGAATGCAGGTTAGATTAATATATATTCAGTATTGTTCTGTTATTGGCACCTAATAGTTTACCTAGATTAATCTAACTCTAGAGCAGGGGTAGGCAACTTAAATGATGGAAGGGGCCACGATTTTTTGTTGGCATTACCAGAGGACCACTATCATAAACTGATGGGATGTCAAAGTAATGAGCAGACAGAAAACAAACAGACTCAGAAGATTTCTTAAAAGTTAAGKGTTGTTTAGTTACAGCGGGGAGGTTCTATATTTGGTAGAGACCTGGAACTGGGGGAGGTGAGTTATTATTGTTTGATCTACAGGCAGATAAGATAAATTGAGAGCTAATGGGCCTCATGCAAGAACATTTTCATATTTTTATCCTAACTTTCTCTTACTTTTGTTAGTATGAAGGGTTCGTACGAACATGCCATGTCAGAAACACTTCTATCTTCAGGAAAAGTGTGTAAATGAGCAGTGTAAACATGAAAAATACCACCTTTACATTCAGGTGCTCGTGCATTAGGAGAGGAGATTAGCATAATTACCACCCCAATAAAACMATATAAGGCCTGTAGAAGTTTGCAAACCCAAGGAAACGTAACTGTCTTCTAGCAGCCCTTGTGACTTCAGTGTGTACTTYTCATATTTAGCTTTGTGCAGCATGTTTTAATCCCAACTAATAATTAAATCCTTTATGGCAGACAGCGTCTCTAAGCAGACTAAACACATAGGTTTGGATAGAAATTCTGTGAACACCTCCCATTTCAACYGAAACTTGATTTTCTTTGTCCAGTTTTCTCCTCTGTTCTGAGCCAAGGGTAAACATCTCTTCCTCACTGGTAGAGAAAATGTGTGTGTGCAAGGTGGTGTCTGCTTTGGAGACCATGTCTAGTGACAAACTTTGTCCTTACAACCAATTCAGGGCCACTGAAACACTAGCATTTTTTTTAATTTTCAAAAATTAATCTAAGAGCTGCCAGTTGCCCATCCCTGCTCTAGAGCAGAAAAAAAAAAAACACTTAAATCTTAGTTTTAATACCTCTCAACCTGCTTGCTAAATTTTGATTTTTTTTTACTGCTCAACTGAAAGATTTCAAAGCTAGAAAAACCAAACATTAAAATTGTCATGATTAATGTTTAGGCCCTACTCTTCATATTTATGGTTGGCCTGTAYGTATTTCTAATTCCACCTTGTGTCATATTTCTTCAGTTTTTAGGTCACTTACTTGGTGTTACTGGAGAATGAAATAACTGAAGACAACATTAAGTCAAGGGCACCATCTAAAGTTTTTGTATTTTTATATTTATAAATATATCACAAAGTTATGATCTTGTTTATGCTTTTTTGTTTCTTTTCATTTTGACAACATATGTCAGTTGTTACTCTAGAGTAGAGTTGTTACTCTAAATCTCCTCATTACAGTGAGTTACTTACCTTTTATGTTGTGGTCATTTATTTTTAGAGTTTGTTTGCCAGGACTGTGGAGCAGCTCGGTAGGGGTCTGTTTCTTTCTGAGTCAGGAGCTCGTCCATATCCTTTTAATTAAGACCCAGTTTTTATTCACTTGATTAATCAGTGAAATCAGGGGGAGGGTGGTGGGAGGCTGCACACAGATTTATCATTTTATCCCTTTAAGATAACAACATACACATTTTGCCAAYGAGGGTACAGCTGGAATTTGCATTTTGAGGTAAATTGGTCACTTTTTCACCGAAGTGAGCTGTCTGACCTCAGACTGAGCTTTAGAGCAATGGACACACGAGCCAGGCAGTGGATGTTTAGCACACACAATGAGATGGTTGTTTATCAAAAGAAGTAGAACAAAGTAGGTAAATGCTGATATTTTTCTAATTTAGGATAGCTAAAAAAATTAATTCATATACCACTTA